AGCCTTCAGCTTCATTTTGAATCTATTTGCTTTTTGCTACTTCACTGTAAGCAGGCACCTTAGTCTAACTTGGTCTTCTTTCCAAAGCCACTCTTTTTCCCCTGTTGCCCTTCCACTTCCCTGCAGTCTCCTCAGTACTTCTTTTTCTCTCTTTCTCTTTCTTTCTTTCTTTCTTTTTTCTCTCCCCTCCCTTTTATTAATGCTTTTGTGCAGGTTCAGGTCATTGATTTCTCCTCTCTCAGCTCTCCTTAAGATTCACCTGGAAACTCCATGACTTCCCTTAAAGCATATACCCTTCCTCTCCTGAGCCGTCTCCCTGACTTAAACTTGATGCTTTTGAAGGTAAAAGATGTGCCTCTCTCTTTTTTTTTTTTTTTTTTTTTTGGCATCAGATTCCCCTGAGCCTGTAGTAAAGTGTAGTAATGGGTGCCTAAAATGCTATTTCTTTAATTAGAAGTTAATGTTACGTACATAGACCTAAGGGGTAGAGTAGCAAGCTTCCACTATGAACTGAAAGCATTTTCCCTTCCATGCGAACCTTTTTCTGCCATAGTTAACAGCATCGCTAGCACTGGAGTGAAAACAGCGTGGTTTGACGCTACTGAAGGTATAGATGACAACCTGTGCAGTTTCTGTCATGCCTTCAGCTGTACATACTAGTTCCAGACTATATCATTTGTGTGCTACGGGTCATGCTGTGTTGAAGATGAGGTGCCTGCTCCTCTGATCTGGCTCAAAACAAACAAACAAAGGAGAGGGGGGGAAAAAAAAACCACCCACCCACCCACCCACGCTGTTTGCTCTCTCCTTCCTACCAGAAGTACGTTTGTGTTGTGGTCTGTAAAAAGTATCAGGGAATATTTAAGATAGAAGACTTACAACCATGAAAGAAGTACAGTTCTATATCAGCCTCCCGATAGGACTAGGGTAGGGAGGTAAGGTGGGTGGAAAGAAGTCTGTTTTTTGTTTTGTTTTTTTTGTTGTTGTGTTTTGGTTTTTTGCTATGTTATGTTACCAGATGGACTCTCTTCATGCTTTTTTCTTTTGAAAGAAGTAGGCTATATCAAGTATAGAAGAAATTGGCAGGAAAATATTATTGCAGGCATGCCTTAAAATCTGTTGTGCTAGTGCCCTAGTGCTGTATTTTCTTTTGTTTTTCCAGTTTACTCCATTGGAAGATGTGAGACTCTTTTGGAGAATTTTTTCAAGGCAGGTTACGTATTTTTGCTCAGAACGTAAAAAAGTAACAGTAAGATAGTACTCAATTCCCTGCCCTCATCTTCAGTTTGCTGACTTTCAGCACACTATAAACTTCTGCCTTCAGCTAGACTAGTTTTGCAGATGATTTTGAATGACAGCTAACTGACCTAAAGCAAGCCCTGACTACTCTCTTTGATTACTTGCATTACTAAAGTCTTATATCACATTATCTAACCAGTCACGTACTTTCAGAGATTGTAATATTTAAGCATGAGAGTGATGTCACCACCTGATCTAATCTCTCTTCAGAATAGAATTGTTGCCTAAATCTGTTTCAGTGATTGTGATAATCTCTAATACTTTCAAAGGTTCCTCGTCCTGATGCTCTTTCTGATTAACATGAGAGCTCAAAATTTAGCTCCATGGAAAACTTACCCTCAGAGCCTTAGGAAAATCAAATACTGATTTTCTAATGTGCAGAGATAGGAGAATAAAGCTTGTTGACTGGAAAAGTCGGACCAAAAACCATGTACTACGTACAGAGGGGAAAAATCAATCAAATATAAAGGGGATGTTATTTGTGAGTTTTCTTTTAAGTGTACACATTTATTATGCAAATAGAGGTGCTTTGCAAAGTGGCTTTAACTCAGAACATCGTAGCACCTCATGCTATAGGTTGTTACTTTGAGCCTTTTTTCCCCAGCTTTTTATTCTCTGCATGACATGCAAATGTCTCTAAATCTTGTCACAGAGCTCCAGTGCCCTGCAGTGTGTTGCTATGAAGGTAATGTTGCTGAAGGTAATGGATAGCTCGGGTCAAAGGTTGCCCTGCCCATGCAGCTATAGCGTTTCAGGTCTGAATCCAGAAAGAAAATACTTCCCTGACCCCGTAATCTTGGTTAGCCTAACTCTTCTTGTTGCGCCTCTCTTCTGCCCATCCCCGGCCAGGTATCAGCAATTCTTCCTCGGTAACAAGGAAGAAAGTGAATGCTGGAGAACCACAAAAAGGTAAGCATGAGAAATGTGCAAAAAAAAACAAAACAAAACATAGCTTTTTCAGGTGTTATGCCACTGATTCACCTTGCTCTGTGTTGTTTTTTTCTCTTTTTTCTTCTTCTTACACATCTTGGAACTGCAGGGGACAGAGCCTGAGATCTCATGAGGACTTTTACAGCAGTCACAGTCAAGTAAGCAAAACTCTAGCAGCAAATTAGAGAAAAGCAGCCTGCCAAGGATGCATGTGCCACCACGCAGCATTCCTAGGTGCAGAGTTGGTTAGACCATCTCCTTATGAGTAGCACCCTTAATAGCATCCGATAGAACACGCTACGTTTCTGTAGTCAGCCCTCAATGTTGGCAAGCAATCTACAGGTGTGACGAAGAGGCTGATAGCTAGTCCTTTACGCCTGAGAAAAGCTGCTACCAATATTGTCTCACTAGTATTGACTTCTGTTACTTTATTTCTGTTTTTGCTAGGGTCGGATGTGTTTTGACAGAAAGCATTAAAGATAGGTGCAGAACAGAGTGAGAAAGTTGTCAAGTACATGTTACCTGTTTCTCTGGCAAGGTATCTTGCTATCGCCAGGCTTTGGTGAATGATAACTCCATCTACTTCCAGAACGGGGATTTTGCCGAATGGGATAGCTTGGAGACAGAAAAATAAATAAATGAATAAATCCTAACCCCTATCAATGGACTCTGTAATAGATGCATTTTTAACACTCTGGGAGGGAAAGCATTGTTAGAATACTTAACAGTTTCACAGCATTTCTATAGGGAACTGCTATAGATGTGAACTGAAATTAACAAAAAAAAAACCCAAAGAACAGAAAAAACCCAAAAGGTTAAGGAGATGAGCAGGGTAATGTCGCAAGATGACAGCTGTAGGGTAGAAACCAGATATCCCATTTCCTAGCCTTGCGTTCTAAAGGCTAAACGTGCTCCCACATATCCTGAATTCTTTATGCAAGGAAACTTCTTAATGGAGCCTTATTTTAACTCCTCTTCCCTGCTTTGCCCTCCTCTGGAGAGTGACTGTAGAGGTTAGGCAAAGTACTACTGAAGTTTTAGTAGTGCAGGATCCTGCTGCATTATGAAATAAGAGATTTGGCCTAAAGCTGCAAAGGTGCTTTTTAGTTTGCTGTTTTGAATTCGGGAGAAATGATTCAGAAAAGTGCCTATATTTCGGAGCTTAGCGTAACAAGACAGTTAACATGACAGTTCTCCAGCAGAGATGAGGTGAAAGCTTAACAAGACCAAGAGACTGATAAAGGTCTCATACTGAACCACAAATGCAAAAAGATGCTCAAATTTACTTGGCTTGCACTCAAAAAACCTCAGTCAGTCATGGAAAAAAGCCCCCAAACTTAAGGACGGGGGAAGACACACTAAGCAGAATCTTGGAACAAAACTGAAGCTGGGAAAAACATGAGAATATGACTACAGGAGGCTGCTCTCAGTATGGTACATGGCAAAGGATATGAGATGCAGCAGCTCAGGTCTAGAGTGGAGGTGATGTACAATGAAAGAGGAGAACAGTGAAACTTCATGCATTTGTGACCTGTTAAGCAAAATAACTTCATCAGTGATACGGTAATTGATGAACATTACCACATGGCTCTGTAGTTTAGCATGCAGTATGAAGATCACATGAAGTAGGAGAATTTAGATGTCAAATCCATATCTGCAAAATCAATTTGGCAGCTGCACAAAGTATCGAGGGCTCCTCTGTGCGTTTTGTCTAGGTCTATGTTCATAGTGCTAATGATGTCATTTTTCTGAGTTCAACACACTGGGAGGCCAGTATAAATTTTGATGCTGATGACTAGCAGAAGCAAGAGAGCTCACAAAGAATTAAGATTGCTTTACCGCAGGGAGAAAGCATACAATGCTATTTGTTATTGAAACAATAATAGAGTTGTTGCACAGACGACTCCATATGCTTGTTATCCGGAGAGCAGCAAGGTCCTGCCTGGCAAGTCCACATGTTACTGTATTGAGAATCCAGTGATGGAAAGACACATCCTGAATGCTAAACTGAAAAGCTCTCTGATTATAAAAACGAGAAAAGCCTTGGTTCTGCACTGCGGATTAACTGTGCAGGGTGCCCTGAATACCAGTTTGTTTAAAGCCACAGTACCGTGAAATAACATTTGTTTATGCAGGACAGCAGTGCATCTTTCCAGCAAGTGCAAACAGAGGGGATCAGAGAATTACCTCACTGGTAAAAGTGATGGCATAGTAAGCTTACAGCGTTTCATGAAACATCCCAAACCAAAGAAAGTTGTATTCCAACTTAGGAGCTTGACAGGTGGACAGCAGGGAAAAGCACAGTTAGCTCCAGAACAAAAAGCGTCACCCCTGTAGGAGTTAACAGGCGGTCTTCAGAGGCCCCTGTAAGACAGCGACTGATCTGATGTGGTCGTGACGAGGTCAACGTGACTATGCAAGTCTCTTTAGCAATAACTGTCAAAACACAATGATCATGGCTCCAGTTAGGAAACAAGAATTGCTTAATCTAGAAACTGAACAGATCATTTTCGACTGTATTTACATACATGAGGAAAGTCTGAAAGCCACAGCTTGACGTTTCACTTTGTCAGTCGCTACAAGGGCAATGACAGGCTTTTTTTTTCTTTCTCCTCTTTCTTTTTTTTCTTTTTAGAAATCTTTGATTACAGCAAAAGGGCAGAGGCATCTTTTTGACAGTTGAGGAAAATGCAAAAAACGCAGCTTGGCGGAGGTGTGGAAGAGCTAGCAGTAACTCCTGATGTTCTGTTCCTAAAGGATCTCGTCGTTTCTGGATTCCTTTTTTGCTAGTCCACAGAGTTCTATGGGGTTGTTATTCGCTCCTTCAGAATGCGAGTGTTGGCTCTAAACTCCTTTTGGCTCAACACTGACCTGTTTTCGTTAGGATGTAGTTATTCTTTTCTGGAGAAGAAACTGTTTTAAGAAACGTTTGTTTTTTTTTTAATCGAAAAAGTATGAAAACTACAGCTATTGGTTTGTGTCCAGTAGAAATATTTTGTAATTCATAATGCAAGCCTAAAATTAATAAATCAGAGTAGCTCTTATTGAATGTTGTCGTGCAAGTCTTATGTCCAAAAAGAATTATTTTTTGATTTATTTAGAGGTTTGGGATCTGTTGTGAAGAGGCAGTGTAGAAATTGTGATCATCACTAACAGTCAACTCTTTAAAGCATAGGAGGCGCTAGATGGGAGATGTTCCTTCCTTTCTTGTGTGTTCCAGATATGAGTTGATTACTTTTTTTTCTGTTAAAGAACAGGAAAAATTTGATTTGGATGTAAACTTTGATTTTTCTCTTGCTGATACAGTGCATGTATATGACTACGCATTGGTTTGCCAATTGCTTGTCAAGTGTTGAATTACTAATCTGTAAATAAGAGTGGAACTTCTGAAACCTTTGGCGAAAACAAACTCGTGCTGTGCAGACAACGGTAAAAATTCTGTGGGTGTCCTGGGGTTTTTTTTCCCCAAAAGTCCTTTAGCAGGGTGTGCTATTCCAGCCTACCAAAACTTATGGCAGGTGTCCAGGCTGCTTTACAGCTGAAGAAAATAGCGAAGAATAGAGAAGGGGCAGCAAATATTTGTGATGAATGTCCTTCTTTTTGGAGAAGAAGGTAAAACAGCTTAAAGTTGACTTTTCAGACTGGCAAAGTTCTAAAAGGGGTGGGGGGGGGAGCCTTTTTGCCTTTGAGGTGTTAGACCCCAAAATCCTTGAAGGAAGGCCAAAGTTTTTAATAACCTGAGTGAAGCATCTTTTTGCTTTTCTGTTAACTTGAAAAGAACAATTCTAATTTTGTACTGTTGTATCAGCAGGAGACTGATTTTATATATGAGCCTCTGAGTGCTGTGGACAGAAATGCATTCAGTGTGAAAGCGGGAGACTTCTCACTCGTGTGCTCTTGTTTTTTTTCTTTTTTTAATTTGTACCAGTGGAGAAGAGGGGATGGTTTGTGAGATACGGTTCATTGCTAGGAAGGATGCAAAGAGCTTTCCCACTGGATAGACACAGTTTCACTGCTTGCTGGAGATAAGGTCGGGCTTTGATAAATGGCCTCGCTGTGGCCTCTGTAGACACCTTGGCTGTAGCCCATTTTTCAAGCACAGATCAAAACACAGCTGGGCCATCTACTCGGACACCAAAGTATAAACAGAAAATGATCTGTCTGTAAATGAGCTTAAGCAGTGCTACTCTTCCCCTTGAGGATTTGGCTTCCTTGGCTTATTTTGAGCCTCCTCTAGTATTTTTGGCCCTATCTCTGCTAATCAACAACACATTAATGTTTAAGGAACCTTTCATGATGTATGAATGTGCTGCGTGTAGGAGCATTGTAATAAAACACTACTAAATTTATGGTGCCCGTTTTTGATGAAAGGCATAGTTTATGCAGCTCTGCGTGAACTGAACGTATGGGGCCATTTCCTGCACGTGTTCCTACATTAGATAAGTAAGTGAAGGAGGCAGCACGTAAGGCTACAAGGTGAGCAGGATCTCATTTGAGTAGAATGAGAATTTGAGAGGCAAATCGTGAGCCAACATGAATCAGAGACCAATCATGAACCAATAGTTAAGATTTAAAAAAAAAAAAAAAAAAGGAGGGGGGGAAGAAAACTGGAAAGATGTGCATGTCACTTAGCTGATTTTTCTTTAACGTTGATCGATTAAGGGGCTGCTGTTGGTTCAAGTCAGTTTATTTCCATGTGTATCTATATGGATGTTCTTTCCATGTTTGCCAAAGCAATGTTGTCTTGCAAAGTTTCCAGCTTCACTTAAGCAAATACGTTTTAAGAAGGGAAACTGAAAATCTGTTGTCATCCTCTTAGCAACAGTGTCATTTCTCAGGCATGCACAAAATACGTGACCTTTCTCTTGTAGTTTCCGCTTGTTTTGTTTCTCATTTGTAGTAAAAAGCACTACGAATGCTTGTGTTGATTTCCAGATTTTGAATGAAAGTTCACTTTAAAGGAGAACAGGGTTTTAAAAAGCATGTTGTTTGGATAGCTAAACCTGTAGTCTTTTTTAAATTAAACTTTAATCATCAAATCCTTGGTTTTTCTAATATTTTGATTTTGTTGTTCTTGTTCTTTAGTGTTGCTGAAAAGAAATCTGCAGAGACTTCACACTCCCTGACAAGAAAACCTTGTCAGAGGGTAAGCCTAAGCCATCAGATTGATCTGCGTTTGTTCTTCTCATTTTAGGAAGGTCTCACTGAAGTATCGGGGCCAGTTTTTGAGTCAGATGAATTCCTTTGTATTCCTATTTTAATTCTTGTTGGCATTTGACGGAAACCGTGGTATTCACAGCCTCTGCGGGATACTAAGGATGGAAGATGATGTCTGGCTGGCTTGGAGAAATCTGTGTTCAGTGCTGTGGTACGCTTCTCACCACTGTTCTTCCCTTCCCGGCCAGCAGAAAAGCCCCCATGCAGACAGGCTTTCCTTTCTTCTTTCCCTTAATTCTTTTTGCCCTTTCCATTCATCATCTTCGTTATTCTTCTCATCTCTATTCTTTCTTCTCCGCATTTATCCTCACTCAACTTTGTTCAGGGATGTGTGAGTTCAGGTTCCCATATTTCCTGTGCCTAATGCTCCTGAGTTGACCAATATCTCCCTATGTTTCCTCCTGCCTGTGTTGAAATAGTTTATAGCCTCGACGCTAAGCAACCTGTATTTATTTAAGTACTTGAATCTTCCTCAAAACTCATTTAATTAACAAGCAGCTTAGGTTGTTGTAGTAAGGCAGATGGATTGATCAAAGATGAGATGGGGGGAAGTTTTACATCTGTTTTTCTTACTACAGTATCTCTGTCGGAATAAAAAAATTCTCCTTTGCCTTGGAAACCAACTGGAACTTCTTTTCCTTTCTATTAATGTTTAAATTGAATTGAGAAACAAATACATCAGATACTTTGTATCTTTCAAATGAAGTATATGAAAGATTCTTTTTTTTTTTTTCTTTTTTAACATGCTCTTTTAATGCTATTAGAGGAACGACTCGCTCTTCTGGGAAGTGACTGGGCTGGAGCTGGAGGCATCTGGAATCCACGTCCCTTGCAGAGGGGTGGCCAGAACGGCACGCTGATCTAACTTGAATCCAGCATTAATGCTGCTGCTGTTACGATTGAGATCTTCCTTGGAAGTTACTGGTAAAGCCCTACTTTTTACCCAAATATAGTGATTTATATATCATTTTAGCTAGAGCTGTATCATAGCAAGTCATTCAGGAAACAGGATGAGTGCTCCCTTGAGGAATTCTTATCTGCTTTCTGCTGCCAGGTACTAAATCTTTCACGATTCCTCTGTTATGTCAGAAGTATTTTCAGTGAAATAAATAAGTCTCTTAAGTTCCCCGAGGACCTTTCAAGCACAGTTCCACCCCCTAAACAGTTTGTGGGAAGTTTACGGCTGTCAATGCAGTAGAAGTATCCTTCACTATGTCTGTAAAGTCTGCATAATTGCCATTGCTTCAAGTTCCTTAAATGAGCCGCAGAACAGTACTTGTTACTACACATTAGCCTAATATCTCAAGGAGGTGGTAATTTTGTGCACCCCACCATGTGCTCTGTACTATATCGTGTCTTATGTCAATGCAATAATACTTTTTGTATTTTGTACTACTCTGCGATAGTGCAGATCTTGAGTTAGCCCGGTATGTGATAGTGTGTAGATCTTGAATTGATTACAGATGAAATGATGGTATGTTTGAGTCTAAGCTTGTTCAAAAGGAAACTGTTACATAAAGAATAAGTTTATTTACTTTTCTAACAAATATTGACTTTGTATAGACTGAAGGATCGTGTAAATATTCTACTTGATACTTGATTAGTTCTTAAAATTCTGTGCTAAAGCTAGTCACAGCTAGTACTTACATACTACCTTGTTTATATTTATTTATATTCAGGCAAGAATTGTTCTTTTAAGTTAGCAGTTAATCTGCGGTAAATTTTCCATCTCATTGGTGACAGGAAGGAAAGAAAAATGTTGAAACACAGAAATTGCCATTTTAGACTATGTTAGCCAAATGACACGTGTTTCTAACTTTATAATGTAACCTCTCTCCCCTTTTAAAAAAGGGAGGGAGGAATGTAGACTGGGAGGGTGAGACGCTATTTCTAGGAGCAACGAGTTACTTATTAGCCTGAAGTAGCCAAAAGAACCGTTAAGAAGAAAGCTTGTTTGGGGGGGCAGGGTCCAGTGGAATTAGCCACTTGAAAATGACAAAACGAACAACAAAAACCCAACATCACACTTCTCTCCAGTTTAAAAATTAAACTTGCAGCAGCTGCAAGTCTGCTTTCTAAATGGCCTTTCTCCATATTAATGTCACTGGAGACATTTTCTAGTTTCCCTGCAGTTTTACAGGAGAACTAAGAAATCATGAAGCATGTTCTTCAGAATAATGACCGTATTTGTTTTATATGGTATGATTTGGGTGGGAAAGTGTTATTTGTTATGAAATCTTACTTTAATTTTGTAGTAATTCATGAAGCAAACTTCTGTTCTCTGCAGGGAACTGACTCCTGATGCTCTCGGACAAACTTGGTTCTTTAATTTGACTCGTTTCCTTTGTAGGTGAAAAATCGTGAAGAAACTCTCCTTTTCTGTATTTATGAGAACAAAATTTTCTCTCCACTAAGTAGTGGTTTTTTTTTATTCATCACACTTGACATTTTTAGAGGCACATGTTTGTTGTACTTGTAGACCTCTGCAGACAGAACTGTTCTTAGATCTTTCAAAGTCAAGTGGGTAAATACAAACATGCTTGACTGTATGGAAAAACGTATAGCAGATTGACTGTGTGTATTATTTCTTAACCTCATTTCAATATATAATTACAGAATTAGTTCAGTTGTACCAATTTTAATTATTGTTGAGGGTTGCAAGCAAGCCATGTACCAAATTGCCTTTGCATTTAGCTGCTGTTGCATTTAGATAATGCCTTTAGCTTCAAAACTTCCTCATGAGCTGAAAGAGCTGTGTGAATTTGCCTTTTTTTGCATCAAATTTAGCTTAGTTCTCCTTATGATTGCTAAACGCTTAGCACCCTTTTGTTGTCACTGGGATGAGATTATTACTGGCATCTGCTACTTCAATTTCTGTTTGGATTGAAGTAGACCCTGTCTGGACAAAATGGGAAAATATTCTTGAGCTCCCTAAAAAAGAACAGGAAGCAAATGACAGTAGTGTATACGATCCCTCAGCAGGGTGCATTATGCCTGTCTGTGCTGGGTGGGCTGGAGGGGATGTCTTTATTCCTTACCTACGGCTGGACAGAGCAGTAATTGAACTCTTTTTTTGGCACAGATCTGGTAACCTGTTTTCCTGAGGACCAGTGTTTTTTCTGTTCCTTCTTCAGGCTGCTCCCCCATGGAAGGAGTTGTGGAACGTTCTTGGAAGCTCAAGATAGAGATTGCAACTGGCTTGTTCTCCTTAGGGTGAATGTCGCATCTATGCTGTACGCGATGCTACACCACTTAGTCCCTAGTTAGGAGGCAGCCACTTCTGGTGTTCAGCCTTGATGTACAAAGTTGTTGGAAAGATAGCCTGAGGCAGGTCAGGGCAGTGGCTGTTGATCTTGCTGGATGCTGTAAGACTGTTTACCTCAAGGACCTGTTGCTACCTTTTACTCAGAGTTTTGCCTGTGGAAGTTTACTTTGTCTGGAAATACCCTGAGTGAGTGACTACTGCTTGAGAGGAGGAGGAGGAGGAGGTAGTCATCAGCTAGTTGATCACCAGGCAATTTCCTTAGCAGCATTACATTGTTGTGCATGTAAAACAGGATTTAACTTAACTCTTGTTTTAGATCATGAATCTCTTTAACTGGCCCATTCTCTGCAACGCAGACTGTGGCAGTAATCATGGCCTTTGCTATACTTGAACTAGGATTCAGTGAGCCTTCCAGAAGCAGAAGTTTAGCGCTGTAGTGAACAAATATCATAGGCTTCACTGGGGGAGGTTCGTGATGCGAACACTGAAGAAATAGCATGGGAAGAATTTTCCTGTGTTGTTACTCGTACTGGTTTGGGCTCTGGGGATGTCATCAGTATTCCATGAGATGCACAACACCTTGACCTTTGCTGATAGATCCGCTATTAAAACATCTTGTCCTAAGATATAAATGCCTCTGTAGCCTTGAAATCACTATTTATGTTTTGTCTTTTATATTTGTCTTAATCGTTATGCAGAATTTTACATAAAACATTGTTGGTATTCTGTGGACTTTGTTTAAGGATGTGAATGTGTGTGTAAACATGTGCATAGTTAAACAGGAAGAAGGCCTATGCAAAGTTTTCCTCGAGTCACCTAAATTCTCCGTCTTCTCTTTAGCTTCTCTCCTCCTTCCCTGAGAGTGGTAGCAGGAGAGAGAAGCTGTACTGCATTGTCAGTGGGCTTAAGCTGTTATGAAGAAAAGGTCTGCCAAGTGACTAATGCCTCACTGATAATTTTTTCTTCGTTTCCAGGGTTTTGTTTATATTTGTTTTTTTGGAGTTGTTAGCTAATGTTTTCTTGGTTTGAGCACCATGGTTAGCTTAAACTGCCTCTCGGAGAGGAGTGGTGCCGTATTTATTTCTAGAACTGGTTTGATGGCTGCAGCGTGGTCTTTGAGACCACATCGTCCAAGAACCCTGGAAGATTAGGATCAGCTTTAGGCAGACAAACTGAGCTGAATTGATTAGGAGCAGAAGCCCAGCTGGATGACAGTGATAAACGTGAGGAACCATGTAGTTTACATTGCCTGAAGATTTAGGTCTGGATTTTCCTTAGAGTTTCAGAAATGACATTTTGGCTCTCTTGATTCTGGGCAATAACATTCCCATAGGCTTCACTAAAGCCCAGATTTGAATGCTTTTTTTTTTTTTTTTTTTGGTCATAAAACATATAGGTACCTCTTCACTGGCTTTGCTTTTTGACAGCGTTTCTAGGAAAGCTTTGGATTCAAGAATCTATTCCACTTACTTGGTTTGATTTTGGGCCAGTCTGCCGGTTCTATCCGGTGGTCTTCATAATTCTTGCCTGAATAGGCAAACAGGTAGCGGCTGATTTCTGCTCTTCCTCTCAGATTGAAGTATGTCAACTTGTAATGTGGCATGCTGGATCCCTGAAAGGGAAGACACTGAGTTATGTAAAATATGTGTAACCCAGCTCCTTTTGTACAGAAGTGCACCATGTGCTTATTTGTGAAACGTATGCGTATACAATGCTAAGGACATATTACACCAATTATGGTGTATTGTACTTTGCAATCATTGCATGAGTCACTTTTTGTTCTGCATTTGTCAGCCACAATATTCAGACATGGATGGCTACAGTTAAATTTGCAGTTGCTGCTTAGATACCCTAGAAAGATGGCTTGTTTTTTAGAGATATCATGAACTTTTTTAGCTTTCAATTATTTTTGTGTGACTTCAAATTCAGGCCACTTACATGTTTCTGTAAAGTGTTTTTCAAAGAGTGCATCAAAAAACACCCTATTATTGCTGCTCAAGGCATCAGCTATTTTGTTCAAACCCACCATATTCAGCCTCTACCACTTATGGAGACCTTCATCTAAGGAAGGCTGAATTGGGAGAACTGGCAAACTGTTGAAATTTGACTCACGAGCTCTTACCCTAGTTGCATAGGCAACTGACCTAACCTACTTTAAAAGAAAATTTCCTGTGGAAGCTAGCCTACCCTGTTGTCGTCAGGAAAATGATCAAATTCTCACGATTTCTCAAAAACAAAACTTGAGGTGCTTTTAAGTTAAGCCGTTGCATGAGTTTCTTCAGTTCTAGTTAGGAGTCATGTTTCAGGAAGGCCCAATTTGTTTCTCAGGCAACAAAAACAAATATGCACTTTATGTTTGATTATGCAACAAGGATGGAGTAGGAAAGGTTGAAAGATAAAGCCTCTTCAAACCAAAAATGAGCTTTTCAACTTGGCGCGTACAGTGCTTTGATATGAGAGATCTGAGTATGAGCTCAGGTGAGATTTAAACGTACAGGCGAGAAGAAACTAAAAGAAGTAGCCACCCCCTCTTCTAAAATAAAACCTTTTCTAATCAAGAACACTTTAGCCTTAAAGTAGACCTTGTGTGTCAATTAGCATCCTTTTATGTTCATCAGATCCAGAGTGTTATTAATAAAGCTTGTATCGTAGATACTCTGCACTAGGAAAGGGAACACTTTGTCTGAAACGAGTTAAGTGCTACTAAAAAACCTCGCAATAGGAGCAACCTTCTATTTAGTCATCTTGCCTTAGAAAATATATGCTTGAGGGCAGATGTATCATCACCTTTGCTTTAGAGGGAGAGGCTCTTTGCTCAGAAATCAGGAAAGCTTGTACTTAATTCAGCTGGAAATGAGCAAACTGTTTGCCACTTTCTCCTCGAAAGTGAAAATATCTCTCTTCCATCCTAACGGTAAAAAAGGCAAAAATTTCACAGCAAATGAGCACACTGGAGGTTCTTTAGTTTACTGTGAAAGGCACCTGCTCCCCTTGAGCACACAGCAGGGTCAGAAGAGATCGTTGTTAAATGGAGATTTTTTCAAAATCGATGGCCCAGAATGGAAGCAATTACAGACACTGACTGTTACTGATGTATCTCCAAGCGCTTGAAAGCAGACTACTACAGTTATTTTTGAAGTCAAGGGAGCATGTTCTTTTGCGTCTCGTGAAAGAGGGAAGCTAAAGACAAAATGAGTTACACTAGAAAGCATGTGATTATTTTTCTATGTATTTTATTTACCAGGAAATACAGTTATCTTCTGTTTGGTGGACACAGCTTGCAGATTAGAAGGATTCTCATTCCTTTTCTTTAAGGACAACTGCCTCTTCTCAATTCCAAATTTTTCAAGCATGTTTTAGGTAAGTGGCAAAATTTTGCTACTGTGTTTTCAAATTTATCACTGAGGGTCATCTATAAAAGAAAATGAAACCTAAATGCTCTGACACGTTACCAGTTTGAATCTATGTTTCAAAGTTAATGTAAGAAGAAGAAATTGAAGCTTTTCTTTTCCATTTTTCCCTTCTGCTGATTCTGTGCTCTCATCTGAGTGTGAGGAACAGTGTTTTGAAAAAGAGCATGGGTTACCTGAGGTCCAAATTAGACATAACTTTATAGTGATATGGGAAAGAAATGAAGGAGAAAACCCAATTCGTACATGGACGTTCTTTTTAAAGGCAGGGGAGTACTAATAATTCAATCCGCATTTGCAGATGATATGACCTTTCATGTTCAGAAATCAAGCAGCTATCTGCTCCTGTTTTTTAGGGATTTCCATAAGGCTTTTTCATAAATAGCATTAGAAATTCCAGTGCCCTGGGCTTAAGACACTACTCACATGTTGCTCAAGTGTCTCAGCTGCCTCTATGCTACTTAGCAATTCATCAGCAGAAAGTTACTGACAACTGGAATGTGTTTAAAAAGAACAAGAATAGAAGATTTAATATACAGCCATGAAGCAATGGGTAGGCAGTTACATGTAGAATGGGTTGGAGATGAGTGAAGTGTAGCATTTCTGGTGGCAAGTATTTTAAAAGAGTATAACTCTCACTGTGAGTTTTTGGGTTTTTTATATACAAAGACATGTATAATCAGGAGTTGTGAGATGATGTAAAGAACAGGGAATTTTGGCTGAATATCAGGAAGTCTTTGACTGTTGTAGTAGGCTGTGGAATATTTTGGTCCATCAAGGAAATAGTGGAAACCATTGTTTGAAATGTTTAAAGCAAGGCTAAACAAATTTCTAATAAATACACTGGAAGGAGTAATCAAATATTTGCAGTGCTGGTGTGCATTTAAGCTTATGAATTTTTTTCCATCTCTGAACAAAAAGAAAAACTCTACAAGGAGTTTACCAAAAATGCTTGACATTTTAAAGGCCTCTATAGCTTTATTGTAAGCATGTTTTGTAAATGTTTGTAGATTTTATTTTTTATTTGTATGTTTTGTGAAATGTCAGGAGTAGTCCTTCCTAAACAATTGCACATAGGTTTCTAAATGAAAGAAAAGGTTGTGTTCAGAATAGATTTTTGCCAAGCCTTGAGAAAGGGAGCAACGGGAGGGATTCCCCTTATCCTCTTCTGCTCTATTCCCCCAGTGTGTTTTGTAAAGGAACAAGACATGAGGAACAAATGAAAAACAGAAAGCCAAAAACAAAAAGTATTTAAATGATTGAAAAAATATTCTTTTGGGGGATGATGGGAGGGAAGATTTATTTTAAGACTTTCAGTTTGTGCTTTTGTTTTTATCTGCAGAGAGGAGGGGAATCTTAAAAAGAAAAAAATATTTTTAATTTTATTTTTTTGGGGGAGAGGGGGGTTAGTCATGATTTAAAAGCACCGGAAGAACAGTGGAAGGGATCTGAGTGCCCAGACTTGCAAACACTTAGCCACCTGCTTAGCGCTATTAATTCTATCCAGGTGAGTTTGTCGTTAAGGCAAATTGTGTGTAAGTGGGAGGGGAGGCTGGGTAAAGCATTGCCTCCTGCCAGTAAATCTGGCTCCAGAGCAATGATGTTTCCACTTCTGAAGCCGTGAGCGTAGCGCTAACTGAAAACTGCCAAGTGCCCTGGAGTTGTGGTGTCTGGGTCACACCCCAGCAGCAGGTCGGAACAGGAGCTGGGCGCTCGCCCTCTCCCTCCTGCTTCCTGGGGGAGGAAACGTGGGGCGCAGAGGGAGGGAGGGAGGGAGCTTGGGTGCAGCGCAGGGACCAGGGCTGCGGGGCACAGTCAGAGCACTACGCTCCCAACCGGCGTCTGCTGAAACCTCAGTCCGCTGACTTTGTTGCACGTAACTTTCAAAACAGCCAACTGAACTAGTCTAATTTGACTTTATTTTAAAGTTATGACCCTGTAGGAAGCTGATTTCCCTATGTCTAGCTTCCTTCTGCAATACCTTTCAACTAGTTAAACTGTCTTTAATATATCTTTAAACAGTAGGTAAGTGGATCTCATGATGCAATTCAACTTTGGAGGTCCATTCGGTGACAAAGTCAAACATTTTGGAAGGAAATCTGCGGGAAGGTAAAACCTATATAAAAGGTGGCACACAATCTTCCACACTATTCATGAGTCAAAATTCAGGTTGAAGTCAGAAGCTTCTCAGGCATCTGGGGGCAAGTTTCAAATAATTTAAGTCAGTTTATATCTTTGTGGGAAACTGGCTTACCTGATGCATTTGGGATGCTTTCCTTACAGATCAAGAAGGACTGAGCTATCATTTTGCAAGATGCTAATCATCTAAGCAAGATGAATGTTAAAAACCAAAGCCTAGGAAAGAATCGCCGTCATTCTCTGATAACTAAAATGGCTCGATTGCAGACAATGCTGATACAGAAAAGAAGAAAAATACTGGTAGACTTGAAATTTTCTGAATGTACGTGGAGGAGACAGAAGCAAACAGTTCCGATGCCTTCAAGGTACGCAATAGTTTTGCCTGTCTTGGGTGACAGTGTAGGGGTCACTGCTCTGCTCTGAAGAGTGAATCTACAAGTATAGAGCCTTGGTTTTTTGCCTCTGCCAGATGGGCTCCTGCAGAGAGCCATGTAGGTCTGCCTGTGGGTTTCAGTGTGTGTCTGTGTCTCCAGTGCAATCCAGAGCAGGTTGCCTCTGCCAGCTGCTATGCAGTCCTGCACAGCCAGCCAAAAACTGTCCTTGCTGAAGGGAACTTCAAAACTCTGGTGGACTTTGTAGGGGGTCAGAGTTTCATCTGTTTTGGAAAATTTAGCCTGAAGAGTAGTACAAGAAAACATTCCTCAGGCTAATAACAGATACAGAAACCTGGACGAAGATGCATAGCTGAATATGGTATGAAAATTTGAGGGGAAAAAAAAACTCTCAAAACCAAGGACAGCATGTTAATAACCTTATCTAAGAAAATGAAATAATGTTTGAGGTGACAGCCAGCAGGGAGCTTTTTCCTGGCCTGGGGAAGAGAGGACAGAGCGGAGTTCAGTATTTGTTCATGTTTATCCAAAGTCTGACGTAGGGGCCTTGTGGTGCAAAGTTCCCTCTAACTGTACTTTGCACTGTGAGAAATTTAATGCTTCCCCCCCCCCAATATATGGGGTCTAATTCCTTCATTGTTACAGGATTAAAAAAGCCCAACTTCTTGCTCAAGCAACACCAGTAGTGTCGAGTTAAAGTTAATCTTTGTAGTGCTGAAAATCTGTAAGCGGAGCTGTGCCTGGAAGAGGTGAGGTATTATGTTACATACATATTTGCTTTACCGTGGGGGTCCTGAAATACTTTACGAGTCACTTGTGGAGAGCACCCCGGCTGACACCTGGCTCGGTGGCTGTGGGCCTGCCAACAAGTGGAAGCCATGTGTCTTGACCTCTGATGTCATTGCCCTCACTTTGATTCAGGCCCTGGCCAAAAGTAAGTGATCCTTAGGCGATCCCCCTTTCAGGAAAGTCGGGTGCCACCCTCTGTTTTCTCGCTCTGTTGTCTAGTTTGCCTGAGCCTGTCTGCCAAGAGGGGTAGAGTCAGCATTCGGGACAGGCCTTGTTGCTCCCTGCCAGGGCTTGTGCAATTCCCCCCACCCCGTCCCGAGGATACGGGCACCCTGGGCTGCACGAGGCACACAGATGACTCTGTGGAGAATCTGAATGGGGTATAGCTCTGAATCATGACTGTTGCACTGAAAGGAAAACACAGATTTAATTGCTGTTGTATGAAAATAAGACATTTCAGGAGTTTTGCTTGAGGTGAGTCACCAGTCTGACACTGTCAGCGAAAGGTAGCAGCTGGTTTGGGGTCCTGAACATGGTGACTGTCCTCTCGGACCACGAATTTAAATGGTGCCCGCCTGCGTCATAGGGTTCCTCCCTGTGTTCAAAATCAAATGTGACATTACGTTTTTAGCTGAACTGGTAAGCGTTTACTGTCTTGGCATTAAACCCCAGAGAAGAAACTCCTTTTCAGAGATTTGTATCTGCTACGTGCATATGTGACGGAGGGCTCTGATGTACCTGAGGAAGGAACTACATAAGCTGACTGAAGACTCTGGCTGGAGGTTTTTTCAGTAGTTTTACACAGAGGGAGCTCTGTTTCATTTCCATGTGCGATACAACTTATGATCGCTTCTGCGAAATCAGTGGCTCTTGTCTACCATCTGGAGAGACTGTAAGATCTCTGAATCTCCTGGAGGAAAAAACAGTATCTGCCGAAGGGTGTGAGAAAGTAATGTGGCGCTATCTGTGATGAGGAAGGTGAAAAAGTCCCTCCAAGGACTAGTGAGTGATGATTCAGTTCAGATACCTCTGTTTATTTTATGATAAGATTAAGCTATTATATCAGATCCAAATGTTTGACTTGCTGCAGCTGATATTATGCATTCCACTGGCATGTTTTTAGAAGCTGAAAGTATAACATCAAATCAGCTTCCGCTCTCTTCAGCGTACAGCTGCATTTCTGCCAAGCATCTTGCTCTTTCAAGTCTGAAACAGAGGTGGTGCAACAGTCTATCCGAAGTTAAAATATAAAAGCTTGGTAGACTTTATTTCTTTCTGGTTTTCATACTGGTTCTAAAGCAGTTGCTATTTGTTGGCAGAGTGATGCTGCGAAGTTGGACCGGAAAAAATAGATGAATGGCTTTGAAATAGATGCATATCCGGCTGCTCAGTGTGGGTATTCTAACAAGGGGGTGTAATTTCAGTCAATTCAGACATTCACTCACCTATATATTGCGAACGTACCATGCCACCTCGTGTAGCTTGAGGTTCTTATAACCTACGTCAGCTAAAGTATTTTCTGTTGATGATGACTGTGGGTTTTCAGAGAGAAAACTATTAATTCCCTTTCTTAGTCTCAGTCCCTAGGCCCAACAGTGCTAATCTTAACCAGAAAATTCATTTTAGAAAGAGAAAGGAGAGAAGTTGGCTGGGTCTGGGTCTGTTTTGTTTTGTTTTATTATATACGCAGTCAAGAGAGTCTTTAGACATTAAAGGAGACTTTTTCCTTAGACTTTTGTATCAAAAGTAGACTGACCAAGTATGAAGCATGGATTTTTGGTTTTGATACTTAGGAGGTGGGGAGAGTTGTGCTTCTTTATGAAGAAAGATTTTAACTAGGGAAGAGACTTAATTGCTGTATTTCACCTGAGACACATTAGGAGTATTAAGTTCAGGTTTGTGTTTCTTACTGGCTCTCCTTTTCAGATATAGAGATTCCTCATCTTTTTAACTGATGAGGGGACTATTAAAGCAGCTTTCTCCTCTTGAACTTTTTAACTATTTCCCTTTCCAGGTGAGTTTTCTTTCCTTGATTTTTGTTGTGAAAGAAGAAACTTCTAAATTCTTCAGAGAAAGGAGCTAGAGAGAGAAGATGTAAATAGTTACTGTAGAAAGTAAGTTTAAAAAAAAAAAAGTGCTTTTAGGGGAAGGAAGATGGAAAATGTTCACACCAATATTTCTTCCTTTTCATTTAGCTGATATGATGCAACAGACAACGATTTGGGGAGATATGCTTTGGTTACATTCTCCTGTTTGAACAACGCTGAAAAGTCATGCGTGACTAAATATATGAGGGTTAAAGAGTAGGTATCTTATGTGACATTCTTGAAATATAAAGCTTAATGTTGAGATAACTTTGGGATTTGCCTTTCAGAAGCCAGAGACAGAGGCGCTAATTAACTGTTCAGCACCTGCCTTTGAGACATCACAGAAAGAGCAGCAAGGAAGCTGTGGAGAGGTGGTGGTCAGCGTTGCGATTTTTTTGCAGCCACCAGGCAGCGTCCGCCAGTTTTACAGGAGCTGAGTGGAGCAGGCACCAATTAAGAAATACACTCCCAAGAAATATGCAGTACCCAGGTAAGAGAGACCTGTACAGCCTCATAAACCTACTTATTTCTGTAGTGTTGCAGAACGCACCACGATTCTGAGTATAGCGTGCAGACATAGTAAATAATAGTGTTAGTAAAAGACATAGGATGCTGGCTGAAGTTAATAGAGATTGCAGAAATCCAACTTCAAAGCCTGGGTTGAAGAATCTAGAATGATCCTCTTATCGCACAGCTAACAGCTAAAGTGCTTATTTTCCTCTGAGCATAGAAGGCCTTTTTTTCTTTTAAGCATGAACTACTTCTAGCATGGAGTCAACAAATCTTAGATTCTTCAAAAAATACTTTCAGTCTTTGAAAGCTGAAACAATAGTACCTTTATATTTTTCTGCCAAAAAGTATTCTTATTAATTTTTCTCTAGCTAAGAAAATTTCTGCCTTTGTTTAAGGTGGAGGGGAGGGTTGGAGACTATGAGAGGATTAATGGAAGACACAAAGTAACCTTCATTTGGACACAGTAAAATAAAGAGTTTTGAGTAATTCCATATAATTGCTGTCAGCTCCCAGTTTGACACAAACAAACTAGCTCTCTAGAAAGCAATAGTCCTTTTTTTCCCCTTCCATCCATTTATGGAAAATAAGCATTTGCATTTGATCCCTTCTTTTTCCTGTGCCAGATAGCAATCTGGACCTTGTAGAGAAAAGAGGAAAAACTCTGCACCCTGTCTTCTAAGACCAGCTGAAGTAAATGTGTAACTCATTGTAGGACTGAGTTATGAAATAACAAATCCAAATAGCTGAAATAGTTACAGCTTGATACTCGCTTAGCTTGGTTTTTTTTCAAGATTAGATATACACACAGCTACAAGCCAATACATATTTTTTTTGTGGGATTTTGCATGTCTTTGTCCAGTATGTTGGCTGTTTGCATCCTGCTGTGGAAATAAACCACCTAACATGAGAAGAGCTATTAAAGCATTACTCTGTAATTACTGAGGCATAACAACATGAGTTTGCTAAGTGATGGGATGAGTAAAGCTGGACTATGTAAGTGAGGCGTTATGAAAGCCTGCTCTGTTGGTTTAAAAAGGAGGCTGCAGGAGAACTTAAAGCAGTTATCTGTCCAAGGAAGTTTCAGGGTTTTTTTGCTGATGTGGTAGGTTAAAACTCTAGAAAAATCCTTCAGGGATATGGGGGGAGATTAGAGGGGGTCTTGTAAGAGAAAAAGCCCTATTCACTTTGTTTGAAATGGGTGAGGGAGCAATTGTGTGTCAGCAGATACAAGGAGGCAGTAATCTTTGGCAGAAGAGGCAGTGACTGGCAGCTCCAGGCTGCAGGCTTTCTTCTGCTGACATAATTGGTGAGGTATTGCATCTCCACCTCCCTGAAGGAGAAGACAGTTGTGCCTTCCTAGATCACACGGGAGAAAGCAAAAGTACATTCATGGACTAGGTTAATGGGTTTTTGTAATGCTTTTATTCTAAATAAGTACTTCAAAAAGCAGTCTGATTATCGATGACCACTGCATTATGCAGAGGAGGTAAAATTGCAGGGGCTAACTGTAAATCAGACCAGCTGAGCAAATAAACAGAAGGCTGCAGCATAGAGCCCAGTTTGGGAATGGGCTCAATCATGGAAATCCGCACAAAAAGACCGATGACGGCCAGAGACTGCAGCCTGTAAGGACTTGGGAAACATTAGGAGTGCCGTTAGCCAGGGTCAGGTTATGTATCCCTACTGCAGAAAGCTACGGGAAACTACACATCATCCACAAACGGCCAAGAATGAAGTTGTTTCCTGCTTTTACTTCTTCGTAAAAGAATGAAAAGCATGACACCTCAGCAAATCTTGTGTGTTCCCCCTGAAACTCCTCCCAGTGTTTATCAATGAACAGGAACAAAAGTAAATCTGAACAGAAAAGGTGACTTGTTGACTCATCTGTGTGATCAATTTGTCACTATTTTCCCCACAGCTGAGAGAGATTCCCCATCTTAGTTGCACTGTGATGTGGGAAAGGCCAGGTTTACCATGCTCTTTATCCACAGGCAGGTGTGGCTTATATATAATATGGCCTGAAACACCTCACAGGCTCTAGAGCAGATTGAAACCAAATTGTACATCTATTGTATTCTAGCTGGAAAGAAAATATGTGCTAAGCTTGTTGTGGAGAAGCTGCTACATTGAGCTTGCATTTTTGCATATAATATTACTTACCTCTAAACCGATGAGTTGCGTCTGGCATCGTTTAATGAAAATTTGACAGACAGCAGAAACAGCTAATACAAGCAGTGATAGAGATGAACGCACTTCAACCCTACTGATAATTTGTGCCTGCTACTGCTGATGGAGCAAAACGATAACAGGAAAACTGTTTTACTAAGACGCAAATAGCAAATATAGCTTTGCCTATGTCATTTGTGTTTATGGGAGGCTTTTTTGTGTGGCTAAATTGGCTTTTCCATACATGGAACAGCACAATCACTACAAAAAAAAAACAAGGCAGCAAAGAGCATTGACTTGGGACCTAGAGAGACCTTTTCTCTTGCGCCCTTTCTAATTGCGTTCTTGGTGCCGCATCCCAAAAAATCTGGTCCTACATCCATCACTGTCCTTGCAAATACTTTCCACTAATGGCAGCAGGCCATAGATGTGTGTCCAGGCTGGAATCCTGTCCTCAAAGGGAGAAAGAGGCACCAAGCAGGTTTTGCTCCTATGCTAGGTTTTTATTAGAATAAAAATAACTGTTGGATGAGAGTGATTCTGTACATCTGAGTGCTCTGCGTGAATGGCCAGCAGTCTGAGTCATGCATTTATGTGATCGCTACCGAGTCAATAACCAGGGTGGTAACTGATTCACTGTTGCAACGAATGCCCTGGAAAAGTGTTTTTTGGGCTGCCTCCAAAACACGCATCTCTTTCTGCCTTACATGCGAGGATTTTCAGTTTGACCTGAGCGCCTGTGACAGTTTTGCTTTCTGTCTGATGCCCAGTCTTGAGACTTGTAGTTGCTTGGCCCAGATTTCATGTAAATAACTTCTTGGACTTTGTGCGTCATCCCAAGCTGAAATGAGCTTTGAATGAAAAAATTACACATTTGAGGCTGAGGAATATTAGCAAATAAAATTGCAGGAAGAGAGATCTCAAACTATGCAGACCAAGGAGTGCCTAGGATAATTTTTCAGGAGAGAATATTTTAGTTTTTTATTTTCCCATCAGATGTTTTAAAAATTCCCTAGAGCATTTTGTGGTAGAACAGAAGTTGAAATAATCATAATTCTTGCCAACACCAGTCATTCCTGTAAAATTCCTGCCTTGCCCCTGTCTCTGTAATTTCCAGATAAATCAGCTCCCCCTCACGGTATCTCTACAAAGTAAAGAGCATAATTCCATTTAAGTGGTTTAGTCCAAAGGCAGCTGCTAGTTTGGCCAGAATTATTTCACGTCCGTTTCCTGAACTCTCAAGCTTATCCAATACAATAATTTATATAAGACTGTCTTGGTCATGTAGTTTCTCTCCTTGGATGTGGAAAAAAATTTTATATCCTGGCCACTTTTTCTGCCCTGTGTGTGTGTGTGTGTGTGTGTGTGTGTGTCTATGTATAAGGAGGAATAGGTCTGCCAGTCTGCCGCAGAGGACCTACAGCACTGAGCAACACCTGGCCGGAGACCCAGGGGACTGTGTGTAGACCTGGCCATCGATATCCAAGGTCCATTGCCTTAGATTCACAACAGCCGTGGGATGCAAGTCCTCAGTGTATGAAATCCGAACCTGTTTGTCTCTGCAGCTAAGTACTTATTGAGCGAAGGCTTGCAGTCAATTTAGCCCTTGTTCGTGGAAATAACAAGCACAGTCTTGCTCTTTCGCTGTGCCCGATATTATGCGTTCTCCAGTCTGCCCCAAAGTACCCAAACACAAAATACTCATTTACCTGAAGTGTGCTGTTACAGACTTTGGTGTCAGGTATTTAAAAGCTTTTTCCTGTTGGCAAATATCAACTAAAGAGAGACTGCGAGGTCATTCGAGTCATAATTTCTGTATACCTTTATCTTTTCTCCTTCTGCTCAAACTCAGCCCAGTATGAGACTGGATTTGCAGGATGGCAGTGTTACTTGTTGGTGGGCAGGAGGGAGCTGAGGCAGGCTGGAAGGCTGTAACTCCCACGTGCCCCCCACCATGAGTACCTCCCGGTACAGAATATGTAGCGGGTATCAAAAGATCCCTTTGCCATTTCTGTTACCCAAATCCAGAGCTGAGTCTCACAGTCTGATTTAGCTGACTGCTTTTCTCCTATTCCCTTTCATGCTTGTGCTTTACAGAGTCATTTCTTCAAGGGCATGTATTTAGTCCCCTCTGAAAAGGGGCAAAATGGAGTATTTAATTTTCTCAGTCCATTGTAGTAGGTTTTTTTATGGGAGTCTTAGCAGACTGACTCCAGATAAGTGAGGTTTTTTAAAATAATGTTGGTTTACAGTTGGATGGGTTATCTGGCATTTGGCAAGCTTGGTTGGTTGGTTTGTTTTTTTTTTTTCCTCTTGGACTACCTGGTAAAAGAGTGAAAATATTGCCGTCTGAAATATTCTATGCAGTATATATGATAAATTTTCAGCTGGTGTGAATAAACGTAGCTTTTAGTGGAATGTCATGCCGTTTGCTAACTCAACTCCAACAGTATGTCAGCGGCTTTTATAGTGGTATTACTCACCACTGAGATTTTGGTAAAAGGTATTTTGAAAGTGTGCACCGTCTTCAACTATTTCTGCTTTCTAACTGCTTAGTAGAAGGTTGCACATGGCAAAACCAAGAAAACTCTTCATATAATAAAGACCTGGTGAACTATTTTCTGAGTAGATCATACAAGCTGTAAGGCTTACCCTCTGTCCAAGCTAGGCTTTTAGGCAGAAGACCTGAAGAGTAGCAATAGGTCTTAAGTCCATTGTCCTAACATTAACAAAGGATGGACTGGTAAAATTGTGAAGAAAAGTAAGACGACGACTGCATATAGGAATGGCACGTTCTGCCACAATATACCGTGAGACTGTTCCTGCTGTGATCCTATCTGTGGCAGTACTGAAGACCCTGGAACATAGGTCTAGAAGTCTAAAGGTCAAACCCATATAGCAGCAGAGCTGGTAGGTTTGTTGGTGGCTCTGCAGCAGAGAGCTGGCTACCACCTGTTTGCAGGTGCCCCAAACCGAACATAGGTAATTGCCACAAAGCAAGTATGTTTTGGGGAAGGCAGGAACAGTGGCTGCTTGCTTTAACTGCATGTGCGTTGACATGACAAAAATGGGAATCCCCTCTTCCACAGCTGTCAATAGATTAAATCGTCACCCTGAGTGAGGTCTGGAAGACAGATTTTTCTCGAAATTACATGATAGCATATGTAAGTTTTTGAATATGCATAGCTCTGCTGCTACGCAATTGAGACAGAGCTGCATTTTACAGCATATACTGTAAATGCAGTAATCACTGAATCACCGGGATGAGTGGCTTTGTTTTTGGTAATAAGAATTAAACTAATTCAAAGAACCATTTTGTGTGCATTTGCTGTTTAGAATTTGAAGCGCTTCAGTCCCATTTCTGTCAAAATGGATATGAGCGTGTGTCTGTGTGCACGCGCGTCTGTGGTGGGGGCTTATTCCCGGTGTGCCTGTATCCTTAGGGGAGGTGGATTCTGTTTTGGGTTAAGGAAAACAAAAGAGTAACCAGAAGTAAATTTCTGAAAGACCTCTATGTCTAAATCTTCTTGTTTGGCAAAAGCTGCAGCAACTTTTGAGTGTAAGAGTACCAGTGGTCCCACACAGTTGTTAGACGCATACAAGTCCGGGAAAAATACTTCACAGCTAAGCTTTGTTTGAATAGTTTGAAATGAGCAGTAAAGAAAGAAGGATGACTTTTACGGGAGAAAATGTGTGCAAGAAGATTATGCACACAGGCAAATGCAGGCAGTTGGAATTAAAGAGGGGGAAAAAAATACTGAACAGATTTAGAGGATCATTTTGAAATAAAAACCAGAACACCTCAGCAAAAAAAGTATTGTCCCCTTTGAAAAAGGGGAGAAAAAGCAGCAAATGAAAGCAGATGCCGCAAGATTTCTTCTGTAAAATAATGGTGAGAATTAGGATGAGGGTATTGTCTTCTGGTCAGCAGCAGATTAACAAGAATTCAGAAAAGGGCTAGAGTAGGATGTAAAAGTGATGCGCAGGAATTGGTTAGCGCTGCTTAATATTCATCTAAGTCCTGGCATTAACCTAGATTTGGTTTGGTTGCGTTAAGTGACTGTATGCGAGTCAGCTTTTCTAACAGAGTACTGCTTCAAGGTGGTTTTTCACTCACTGAGAAGCGTGCGTTGGGGAACGCCAGCAGCTTTCCCGCATCGTTGCTACGCCCGCTTGGGTTGTCTTTTCCTTGCACCGTGTTTCTCTGTCGGGTATCCTGATTATCGGAGTGGGTCAATACCGAGAGCATCGGAGACTGGTTGAGAAGCGGGGGCTTGCGGCATCGACAGGCTAGCAGTCTGCCTTTTTGCCCCTGGAAAAGTAGTCTGTGGTTTCTGAGGTCTCCTTGCGGCAGTGCGGGGGCCTTACGCGCGGCGGGGACTTCAGAGATGCCTGTGAGTGGCAGAGGAGGTGTACCGATGGGTACACCTCGAGTTAGGCGGGCAGCGCGCCTACGGAGCTCGCTCTGCCAGCAGCGCTAGTCGGGGACGTCTGCGCCCGGTCAGCTTAACACGCACCGTAGGAACCGAAACGCGCGCGGTCCTCGCCGTTAAGCGTCGCATCATTTGACGCAAACAAACCCCGCGCAGCTAGCATAACGGTATCCCCGAGGAGGGCGGAACAAGGTGGGAAGAGCAGGAAAGGGGAAAGAGAGAAGAAGCTGGACGCTTTGTAGGCAGCAAAGCTTAAAAGGAACTCACTCTGGTGCAGCGAAACGCGCTCCCTTCCTCGGCGCACAGGAGCCCCAGTGCTGGGCTCAGTGCGAAAGGCTTACATTTATATCTGTACTGTTTATTAATATGCAAACCACTCCCCATCGTGACTCACTCTCAGGAGTACACACACAGCAAACGTGTCGTTTCCTCAGATAACGTGCAAGCTTTGTGTCTTTTCTCGGACCGCGATACCAGACTTGGCACTGGGAATTTTTCAGCTTGCACTCAAGGACAAGAAATACTTAAAGTGCTGTATTTAACCAAAAAAAAAAAGTAGTAGACACTTCAATGATCAGGCACCAGGGAGCTGAGCCAGATGTCGGGTGTGTTTTTGTTTGTTTGTTTTTTGGTCTCGTCCCCCGCCCCGGCAACTTGTGTGCAGGAGCAGGCCAAGAAACTGCTGTCTTCAATTATCTGTAAATGACATGAAGCCCTCCAGTATCTGATCTAATTATGGAACAATGCGTTAAATAGCTGCGATCTCATTAAAGCAAGGGAGCCGGGGGAAAAAAAAAGGCAAACAAATAAAGTATCGTATCTATACCTTTGTCGTAAAGCACAAAGTATGGATTTGTGGAGGAAGGGGGGTTGCTGGTGTTGCAACTTATTTGTGCCTTGACCTTAACAAAGTCCGTTCGGTATTGTTGTGCTTTGATTTCCTGTTTGTACGTGACCGAATGCATGTGTGCCATACCGCACGACTTCGTTTTGAAGCCTCATTCACTTTTTGTAATAGATGTTTGCCAGTGCTCTTTGCAGGTGCGGAGAGCAGGCCTGACCCGAGCGCTCTCCCCCGTGTGGAGGAGCGGTCAGATTCCTGTAGCTTGCAGCATTAATCATTTGCCTCAAAACAACTCATTTCCATGCAGTAAATGCGTTTCCCTGGTGTCAGCAGCTGAGTCTTCGACTACCAACACCCTTAACAGCCAAGAGAAAGTTTACAAAAAAGCCAGCATCTTCTGATCAGGACTGGTATAACCTGACTTAAGAGCCAAAGTGCCCAGGGGCGCCTCAGTGGTGACACTTCCTTGCTTTTGGAGCCCTTGACTTTGTCGTCTAGATTTATGCATTAACATTGCTTTTCTCCAGTATAAAACGGGGTGGGGGGGTTATCACTTAAAAAAAAAAAACGGAGTATTCTCCAGGAATTGTTTTCAGTTGGCAACAGTTTGTTCCTATCTTGGCTGGATTGCCAATGATGCCGCTCAGTAAAGCATTAGTAAGAATTGGGGAGTTAGCTTTTACTTTTAATGCAAGTTAGTTAATGAGTTAAACCCGTACCTCACCGTGAGAGTTGTCATCGTTTAGCTGGTATAAAGCACAAGCGCTTCCTTGCACCAGAATCTTTCCTCTCGTGATTTATAAGGTAGCAAAAAGCTCGTTTTCACTTTACCTGTGGGAAATCTTCAATGCCGATGCAGGAGGAAATCAGGGCCTCTTAAAAGTCTATGGCAAAGCTGTGGTAGGACCAAGTCTTTAACTTCACGTTTGCAAATCGGTAGCTGGTCCACGTTCAGGGGAAGTCGTGCTCAGGGCTGCATCCTGTGGGCATGTGTAATTCTCTCCCTTCGGTGCTGCTCTGAAAGCCTGACAGCCTAGCGCAGTGTGATTATAAAAGCCAAACGTATTAAAAAGCTAAATGTACAAAGGGTGTTTTTCAGGAGTACCTGCTCCTCAGCCGAGTAAAGCTCTTTACAGGATCAGGTGGTAGGCTTATTCTCTAGAAGCAAAAATAATTCTTGCTTTCTGCCAGATTCTGCCCAAGTCTCATCCAAATGATCAAATGAATTCCTGGGCTTCCTAAAGCCAGAAGTGATTTGTGTCCATAAGTTGAGAATAACGAAGTTAATAATGCACTGAACCGATTTAACCTTGGCTTCCTCTGATAATGATTTCTTACAGAGTAAGCCCTCTATTTATTTTACCCATCCAGCCTGCAACGGCTATTGATCGCATGAAAAAGTTGCTGGACTGCCCACTCCTATGCAGTCAAGCTGCGACTGTTTATCACAACTTGTTGCAAGAGACGCTTCATCTAAAGTACCTTTTGCTTGTGTCCAACCCCAAAAAGCTTTAGAAGCTGTGAGGACATTGCTAATTGAGACTGTGGTCTAGGAAAAGAATTACGTATCAAATCTGGGAGGAGAGACGTCCGTTTGGATCAGACACCTTCAGATCAGACTGTAGCAGAGGCGTTTTCGTAGGAGAGTCTGTTGTCACATGCTGCTGCCGCTCGGCTTTTCAACACTTTGCCCCGTGGTCTTAGAGCAGCATCTGGGTTTCTGGCAGTGAAGTTGCAACTGGCTGAAGCTGACACTTTTTCTTGGTCGGTGCTGAGGCTCTCCACTCTATTTGAAAGCCCTAGATAAATCCAGAGGAAGTCACATGGATTGAAACTAAGTCCAAGGTTTAGTTCAACAGATGTCCCTTTTGGAGCATTCGTGGGCTATTGTTGGGTCAGAAAATCGTGGCACAGATCTGTTTCTCTGCGAGTCCATCAGTATTGCTGGTCATTCTTCTGCCTTTTGAGTCACTGCCAGTCCCTCCCCACCTCTCCTCTCTGTCACTGCTCTACTTTGTCCCAATGTTGATAGTTAAGCATAACACTGAAGTAAGACACAGCATTTCATGGTTTTGCCAGTGGTGCAAGTCTCTACCATGAGACAGCTTGCTTGATGCTGTCAGTGGCCCAGTTGAGGTGAATCAACGTGTCGGCAGAAACATCTGCAGCGGAAGTGGTTTCTGATGGCTCATTTTGGGAACAGTGAGGGTCCAGCTTCCGCCCCCCCCGAGCTGAAACGGGAGTAAATCCGTGACCATGCTGCAGGCTCTCCTCTCCCTGGAGGAAATTCCCAGCCAGGCATTTACAGTGAGCAGACTACAATGGGCAAGACATGACCATCTTACTGAGAGTGGTAACTTCCAGTTAATGCCTCTACATTTCCACTTGCCTGTCCAGGAGAATAACACCATTCAAGCCAAAAGTTTCGCTAAAAATTTGGAAATAGCGCTCGTGTTCTTAGCAATTTCCGTGCCCCCCCCCCTTCCTTTTTTCTCCAATTATGGTGTTTTGCTGTTATTACTAAATATTCTTTTAATTTTCTTAAGCGAGTCTGTAGAAAATGATTTTAGGAAATGAATAATACCACCTTACATAGCTTGTAAGCCCCATCATGAGGCATATTAGGCCTGTATTTAGAAACCTGTCAATGCCGCAATGTCCTAAGACCACTCAGCCTTTTATGTGCAGTAGGGTTCAGCACTTCGCATTCTTTTAGCGAACAGTAAATTCAGCCAGAGCAATTCACTTTTAAATAGACCTGATGTTTGGCAACTGCAACCTAAATTTACAAAGAGTTTTGCTCAAAGAAGAAAATGTCTTGAAATATCAGTTGCTTAGTTTTGAAAAAGTTGAAATGTTTACAGTTTTCCTTTTGAGTGAATGTTTGTAGGGTTTTTTTTTTTCTAATTTGAAAAATAACAGTCAGAAAAAGGTGATTGAACTTTAAAAGCATCATTGTGTTAATAGAAGCATGTTCAAAAATTTTCAGCTTGCTTTCTCCATGCATATGCATTGCTTTACTTAGGATTTTTTTTTTTTTGTAAAAAGGATATCAAAGGGTCATGAACACCTTTGAAAGAAATTATACCTTCTTAGTCAAACATGATTCCAGCTTTACTATAGCTTTAGTAAAAGGCAGCATTTAATGATCAATCAAGTCGGAGATAGGCTTTCAGAACTCGGCAGCTTAGAGAAGTAGTCGACTAAAGGAAGGCTGCTCATTTTGGGTTTTACGTGATAACTTTATTTGTGTGCTCCTGGCAGCAGGGTGCCTTTTTGCTAAGAACAGTAAAAAGCAACAACTGAAAGATTCTTCCTCAAACTGCTACGTGGGGAGCAAGAGCAATAAAAAGCAAACCATTAGACACAGTTGCCTGTGTTGGGAAATAGTCCCTTGGTTTTATTCATGAGGAGTAGAAATGTTCACGGGTGCAGGTGTTTGTATATGAAGGATCCAAAGCCCAGAGAAGAAAACTGAAGGACTTGTGCTAACTATAGTGGGCTTCTGTCTCAGAAGCTGTTTTTGCAATCCAGAATTTAAATAGAGCCGTAACTACTCATTAATTCCAAATGCCTAACTCTTTCCTAGTGCATTTGCTTCAAAATTTCCTTTCTCTAACAGTTGGTCCCGAGTTAGCTGGCACACTATTTATTTTCTTTATTTTAGCGCTCCTATTTCTGAGAAACTGGCAAGTGTAGGGACAACCAAATTTTACAGTGGCGTTGCGTGCATTCGTCCTAGTAGGGCCTCCAACTTAGCAGAGGAGCGGTTATATTCTTCTTGGCTCATAGGGAGTTACATGAAAAGCACAAGTTCTTGATGGCAGCCAGAAGGCCTGCCTGCTCAGAAGATACAGTTCAGCCCAGAGACACGAACTGGAGCTCCTTTTGATACGTCAGCTGACGTCTGACCCGTATCTGTCTGTGGTCTCTGTACTGATGCTTTGTTTCCCATTACGTCCTGTAGAAATTCCCGAATGGCAGTGAAAAACCGCAGAGCCAAGTCAGGGCTAGTCAGCTGCTTTGCTTATTTCAATTAATGTTTTGTTACCCAGCTGTAAAAAGGAAGCAAAAACTAAAAATTAAATGTTTGTGTAAAACAAACAGAGGGTAAGAGGATGTTACAGAGGATAAGAGGGTCAAAGCATGTACGTAGGGTCAAAGCATTCATGAAAACTTGAGATAGGGGCTCTTTTTGTGTGGAGAGTTCAATCACAAGGTTTCATCAACTTGCGAGGTCTTGCGAGCGTATCACATGGCAGCAATGACTAGGGAAAGAAATCAAATGTGCTTTGTGACTGGGAGAATAATGTCTGATTCGCAGAAGTAGGCCAATGCAATTAGTTAAATGGTAAGCCTTGTAGTGTGATGTAGCATGTGCTGCCTCCCTGATTAAATCCACACATTTCAGAAGGGATAACATTACACAAATGTGTTACTTAAAAGGCAAATATCAAAAGCTTTTAAAGAGAAGCCTTCCTGCAAACATTAAGCTGCCTCATCGTAATGAAGGAGTGCTGAATGCCCTCACTGGGAAGTCCCAGGGGAGCCCTGAGAAGGCTCAGGACTTGGGCGGCGAGGGCATGCTCCCACGATACAGATGGGCACTTTAAGGTCCAAGTGGGAGAAATCCTTCAGTTTAACCTTTCGAAATGTGAGATTCCACCAAAAAACTCTACGTGCTGTCCTTTGTGATTCAACAGAATGAATCATTTGATATCATAATGTCTTCCCAGGAAACAAAAGTGGACCCTAAAGAACGGGCATTAAAACTTTTTTTTTTTTTTTAATTCCTCCCCTCCCAATCATTGGAGTGGGAGACGGTTTTCCTTTTCTTGGAAATAGGTGGGGGTGATCTGGCAAAAATGAGCAAGACAGGAGGAGGAGTGTCTAAGCCCTAGCTTTACCACTGCGACAGAACTGGAGGTACCTCGTGTAACATGTAAGCGAAATACCTCATCCCATTGAGTTCCACTTTCAGAGAAACGACTCATTCTCCCAGAACTCTACAAGTGATTTTGCAGCAGCAACTTTTCTAACCACTGTAGCAACCAGTACACTTAAATCCAAATCTAAATGCACTCAGGAAATACTTAAGTTTGTTTCCAGAGATCGGAATTACCCGATTCTCTAGCCAGCTTACATCTAAACCCCACTGTCTGCCAGATGTATTGCAACGCTGGAGGAGGTTAGGGGAAGCATGTGTGTAAGAATCTCACTGGAAATAGCAGGTACGCGATGCATCTGTTGAACTGAAACACTGGAAGTGTTTGAGTTTCTGAATGGTTAATCTCTCAAGGGATTGAGGCTGGTTTTTTTGGAATGGACTGCAGAGATAGAAGGTTGAAGTGGTGAATCTGTGTCGATATGCACCAGAAACGATCTGGACCCAAAAGCCAAGGAAGCGTGGAAGCCAAGAGAGAATGCACAGAAGTGAACAGAAAGTTGTATTGGATTTTTGAGGAAAATTGTCCATTTCTTCTTTTTCTATTTAAATAGAAAGGGACTCTGCGTATTCTGCTTCTCGAAGACTGTGGCAAAATAGTCCTTAATGTCATGTTTGGAGGTCTTTCTTCCTCCACTTGATTTAAGAAATAGTCAGAAGTGCTTAAACAGAAGTTACTCAGGTGTTCCTTGTCTTAATTCACAGCAGCTCTGGAAAGAGCAAGGCAGGTAAGTAAAAGGGCTTCAGCTTCCTCTTTTCTTGGCCCCGTTCATTTGCCTGGGGTTTGTGGGCTTGCTGAAATCACAGGCGAGCAGCTGTTGCACAAGTGCCGCCTGAGCACGCAGCATGTGTGTTGCCCCATGAGCTGGACGTGCTGTGCATGAGCTACAAGCAGCGCGCGGTGCTGCTGTCAGGCTGAAGCTCACGGCGACTAACGTTAACATGTGCTGCCCTGCCCCGTGATGCAATCGCTGAGCCTCCCGGCCTTTCCTCCCCGTCCTCTTTTGGGCTGGTGCTGTTTGTGGGCATGTTGTTTTTAGGTGCAGCTGGCTTCCACTTACCTAAAGCTCTGGGTGTCGGGTAAATAACTGCACTCCTGGCCTGCCCTCTGAGAACAGAGCAGCACAAAGCCGGGTGCATAGGCCTGGAGGCTGTTTCCAAACCTCGCCAAAAATATCTTGTTGCTTTATCTCTGCCGTATGCTTGCCTGCAGTTGTTGAAGCCTAGGACCAAATGTGTTAGGATGGTGTCTTTTGTTCAGTAGCTTGAAGTATAGCAGGAGGGGAAGGGAGCTAGTTTTACTTCCTTACCAGGCAGGT